AACCATACCTATACTTTTTCTACGCCTTATCACAATAAGTTATTTATCAATTTACAACCTAATAAAGAAGCCGTCTTTCAAAAATAATTATACTTTTTTTCTGATTGCCTTTAAACTTTAAACATCTATAACTCATTGAAAAAAAAAATTGTTTTATGAATAAATCTGATGATATACAAAAATTTAGGTTTTAATTTGAAAAGTTTATACAAATTTAGAATACATATAAGAGATGGTGACAATAAATTAATTTTTCATGTAAAGATTTTCACAAAGTACCATTATTGTTAAAAAAAAAAAAGTGTTGATTAGCTCTAATATTTTCGAAGATATTTCGTGAGGCGTAATTAAGAAATCAGTTAGTAGTTTCAGAAAAAAATATAATGTTTTTTTTTTCATTCCTAGTTGGCTGCCTGGTTATTGTTTGATTAGTACTTAGAAAAAATCTAAAGCCAGACTTGGAATGAACGGCAAAACTAAATACTAAATCTAAATACATCATCTAAATGATGTAGATAGTTGGAAAATGTAAATGCTTTGTCTAATTTCGTAATTGAACCTATAGAAGATGTTTTTCATTTTTTTAGCAATTTATATTATTCAAAACTATTAAAATTGTTCTGAATAAACATGTAAATGATGTTTACATGTGTAATTTAATAAAACTACTGAAAATTTTTTTAAAATGCTATATTTCAGATAATAGGTATTGAAGAAATAAATTTCGTCAATTTATTTTTATTTAAAATCCCCTAATTAGAAATAAGACTTAAATGTTCAATTAATTTGATTTTCTTTAGCTGTCGCAATAAAAATGTTTTATTTATTTATTCACACTCATGTTAAAACCATACGCTGTAAAATAACAATATATCATTCTTGCAAAAAAGGACGTTTAAGTACGATTTAAAACATATGTGATAATTTTAATTATTTTCGAAAAATTTGTCATTGTTTAGTGAATATACTAAAAAATATTTTTATTAAAATTTCGCAAAAATTACTATATTTTTTTAAACCAAGATGACCATATTGTCACAAGCATCAACTTGCCCCCGTCTACCATATTATTATAATCTGAGAAATATTTTAGAAATAAATCATATACAAGGTTAAATTATAAATTATTATTTGTATTACTTTAAAAACTATTGGTATTTTTATGATATATTTCATTTAAGAATGAGTAAATAAAAATTTCCTGCGATAATCTATGAATAATTTTTATTGCCTTACATCATGTGTAAACGTGTCAACTGAATTTGAATAAAACAAGTACTATATTTAGTGCTTACAATCGTTTTTTAAATAGATTGTTGTACTACCATATTTATGATTACTCAAAAATGACTGAATTGTTCTTATAAACAAAAATTATTTATTATTAAAAATTGTTATTCGCGTTTTATATTTATATTGTCAGTTCTAGATCTTTAAAAATGGGTTTCTATTTTTATTTTGTGTGTGTAATTATCATACCTACGTTTTCAACTGGAATGGACAAAAATATTATAAAATATTTTTAATAATCTATAATTTAAAATTTTAATGTATTTAAGTAAAATATATAGAGTTATCAGTAAGTAAGGAAAGGAAATTCTATTGTTTTCATCGTTTGTAACAATCAACCTGTTTACTTACTTACTGCAGGCACGTAGCCAGAAAATGTTTATTGGAANCAGGCACGTAGCCAGAAAATGTTTATTGGAAGGGCCAACAATTTTGGGCCCTTGTATCATTTTCCATAATTTGTTTCCCATGAAAAGCTTGTGGGGGGGCTCCCTCCACTCCTCCTTAGAGAATATCCCATACTATGAATCTTACAAGTTCAAAATTTTACCATTGGTTGGTTAAAAACAAATTGTTTTCGTATAAAGTATACTAATTATTACAGTATTATAAAAAATAGATAGTACCTATAATATTAAAAAAAAAAAATACTTTCATCTTCATTATCGGGATGAATTTTTCATATTGTGAAAAATAAATAAAATAATGATGTGAACAAAAGCTGATTTAATTTTTCAACTTTTAAGCTATTAAGAAAAAAAATAATTTATACCTAAATACTAATAACAATTAAGTTATAAATAATTTTTAAAATAACTATAAATTATATACAATATAAAATTATTTAGTCATATTTTTATTACTATTATTTAAAGCACGCAAATAACAAATTAACAAAAACAAATAAATTACCTATTGTAACTACTAAATTATAAAAAAAGAAACAGATTAAAGATAAGATTTATCAAAAAATTTTTCATTAGTCTATCGAATTTTGTAATCAACTAGATTCTAATCAATATAGATACTTGGTAGTTTGTTATCATTTGTTGGACCAGAGTTAAAAAATATTTACCTACACCACGTTTGGAGTAACTACTATTCCATTTATTATTACGTCTAGAACGTTATCTTTATCAAATAACGTTTTCTATGAATATAAAAATGAAAATACAGTCATAATAATAACTGTATTACCCAATAGTAATCACAAATTAATAATAATTTCAATGTATATAAGGCCTAGCACGTTTTTGATAATTCGTAAAAATAATTGAATTTTAAATTTGGGGGGCCGGCCCTGGGTCACATTAAATCTAAGGAGGGCCAGGTACACCTATGTCTACGTGCCTGACTTACTGAACACCCGTATAATGTGATAGAATATGAAAATCAATCCCTAGTGAACGACACAAACTACTATTTTACCAATAGTTTCAACCACTGGATGTGACAAAGGTACATTTTCGAAATTCACTTATTAAATAGATACTTCAATTAAAGAATTAAAAAAAAATTCTCAACCGGAACAACTCACAAAAATAAAATTTATAATAAATATATAATAAATTAATTGTTTTAATAATTATTAAATATTTAGAAACTTAATTAAATAAAAATAAATACATAATTATTTTTTTAAGCACATTATTACTCAGAGAGTCAGATAAAAGACACCAATTGTGAAAAAGTTTCTAAGTCAGAAAGAGCACAATCACAAAACCGTCTGGTACAAAGACGCTTCATGACCAGATTTTTAGAAAAAAATAAGGTGTCCAATGATCCAGAAATCGCTCTTTTATAGGCCTGTTTGTTATGAAGAAAATTATGATTTAATTTTAAGATAATTATTAATCGTTAATCAATTAAACTTGAAGGGACATGTACGTAACCTATTTATTATTTTATGATTTGAGTTAATATTACATAAGGGACTTGGTGTTTTGTATCTATAATCTCCTGTTAAATTAAAAATGTAAAATACAAAATCGAGAATTTTCACACAAAAATAGCATTCGATAGCCATTTTCACCGTGAAAACAAAATAAAGTCCGAAATTTCTTTTTTCGATGATAAAGTATATTACATTTGCTTTAATTTAAGATATATATAAAAGTGTCAGACTTTCCGGAACATTTTCAAAAGTCAAGTTGAAAAAATTAATTTTTTGTGAAAAAGTTGTCATTTTAAATCCCCCCTATGGGCAAGTAAAGGGTCAGATTAATAAAAAAAATTATACCAAATGAAAGGTAAAGACATTAAACATCTATAAAAAAAATAATTATATTGATATGTTTATTTTTGAAAAAGTTACGGCAGCTTTTAGTAAAAAAAATTTCGAAAATTAGCGTATTTTAAATTTGTAATTTTTTTGGAGGTTTCCCCAATTTAAGGGGAACGAGGGAAATTTTTTCAATTTTTGAGGGTAATATCGACTAGATACGATTTATGTACTTTTGACGTATCAAGAAATTGGTTCGGTAAGAGCTGAGAATAAGTGATAACAGACACACAAAAAAAAACATCATATTAAAACCAATATTTTCTCAGCTTCGCATCGAAGCTGAAAACTAAACAGAAAACAAATATATGTTGACGATAAAAAGGAAAAACAGTCACGGTAGAACGTGATGGCCATCGTTAAGTATAATAAGTACATAAAATAAATAGGGAATCAGAAAAAAAGTAGTGATCACTAGAATAAAATATTTTTTAAGTTTTTTTGATGAACAATATGTTAAAAGATCACAAATCGTATCTAGTTACATACAGTAGACATTGCCCTTAAAAATTGAAATCCCTCAAAAAATAACAATTTTTCAAATTTTTCAAATTTTTTAAACTTTTTTTTCTTAAAATTGCTATAACTTTTTGAAAACTAAACGAATCTACATAGTTTTTTTTATGTTGAAGCCTTAAGTATTTTCCTGCACACAGGAAGAATTCAAAGTTGCAATGTCTATATAAAAAATTTAATTTTGAACTTAAGTTCTGTACTATAAGTTTTTTAAATAAAATTATCCCTTCAACTTATTTTCTATGTGCAAATGGTTGCTGTAGTTAAAAAACAAGCAATTTTGGTGTTAAAATTATCGATTTCATATTTTAATTTTTCAACTTTAAATTCCTATAACTTTTTGAAAAATGTTTGGATCAATACAAATTTTTTTTTTTTTTAAAGAATAAATTATACACATTTTTAAATCAACATATTTTTTTTAAATCGGACAATTTTTTTTTATTAGAGGGGGTTAAAAACTTAAAAATGATTACTATGATTTCTATCTATTATTAAATTTTCTGATTGCGCATTAATCTTAACAATATCATTTTTTTAATTATCATAAATTATAAATAAATTATTATAATTTTTTTAAATTGTTTGTAAATAGTAGCGTTTTTTTCTAACATGATTTTTATATAATTTTGGTTTTTATAAACCAATAATTAAAAAAAATATATATAACTTTTGTTTGGATTAAGCTGGCTTTGATATAAAGTTTAAAACTATTTAGGGATAATATATATCAATAGCTTTTTTTGTACACTTTGCTAGATCATTCGATTAATTTTTGAAGTATACTGAGAAAAAACTAATTTTGACTATGATGGAAAAATTGAGTACTAATAACAAATTAAAATTATTCTTTTTATTGTTAAAAATATTTTTAATATTAAAAAATTTACATTTTCACAATACATAAAAAATAAAAAATAAAACAAATCTTATAAAAACATTAAATTATTATTTTTTTTTGAAATAATATAACTATGTTATCTGGAAGTATTTTTTTAAGAAGTTGTATTTTCACAATCTCTTCCATTTTTTCGAATTATTTATCGTCGAATTATATTTATACAACTGACTTGAATAGTATGCAGATTGATCTTGAACCCATAGCAGTTTAGGAGACAGTGTAAGTCTGAAACCTTAAAGATGGTTTCAGAATTAATTTTCCTTACATATTACGTATTACGTATAATTAAAAGAATAATTTAATATACGAGTTCACTATTATGTCTTATTTAAATTCTCAAATCATTTTTCAAATAAATTCAAACACATTAATAATTTATAAAATGAAAATTAATATTGACACGAATTAGTTCGTTAAAAAGTTATAGTTATAAAATGTATTATATTAATAATTTTTTTGAATTATTATATGTATAATAATGTAATGTACTAAGTTTTGTGAAAATGTAATGTCAGAATTTATATATATATATATTATAAAGAAAGTTATGCTGTTTCAATATAATATTATTATATTTCATTTCTATACAATGAGAAAAAATGAATAGTTTTTGTTTACCTATTATGATTATAAATTAAAATATTTAACTCAATTTTCACAATTTTTTCAATTTTTTTCGATTTGTCTATCGTTGAATTATACTTATACAACTGACTCGAATAGTATGCAGATTGATCTTAAACCCATAGAAATATTTGATTTTTTTGGCAATCAAATGAATGTAGTAATTTTTTTAATTTTTTGTCGAGGAGTTTATATAAAGCAATTTCTTTCAATTTGTGAAATTTGAGTTTAAAAAAAATCGAATCGACCGATTTTAAATATTTATTCATCAAAACAATGTAAACTTCCTTGTATTAAAAATACAAAAGTTGTATTGAAAGTTTTGAACCTTGTGTTCCGTATTATGTTAGTATTTTAAAAGACCTTATACCATTTGGCTGTAGTCTAACGAAGATTTTGGTTAAAAATTTTAGGAATTTCATTCTAACATCTAATGGTACATATTGGTCATGTTCAGGTAGAAAATTTACTAAAAAAATGTTTTAAAAAGTATAATTTAATTATTCAACTATTTGACCAGTCAATTATGAAAAACAACCAAGTACTATTCTCGTAATTATCCAATAAATAGAAAAAAGAATCACCAAAATCGATTTAGCATAACAACGTGTGACGCATATAGTAAATACTATGCATATTACATTTTCAAATCCTTATCAAATAATTCAGAATTTTAGATTATAATAAAATATTTTATGTAATAATGTATTCAACGCTTACCTTTGTTGTTTTTCTCAAGATTTTTCCAAGCAAATCTATTAACAGACCTTTTCTTTGGCATTTCAGATTCTTCCTATGGAAATTTTTTCGTAATATCGTACAATATTATAAAATAAACATAGAATAAATATTTTAAGAAAAATATAGTTATAAAACAAAAAAGTTATTCACTGGAAAATATTATAACAAGTAGTAATAAGATGGCCGATTCACACTGCTTAAAAAGTACTTTTATAGTTTTATAAATAAATAAGGATTGAGCTGCTTTAGATGTGTCACACTAAATAAGCTTGGATTGAGCTGATTTTGTTGTTAGTTCAACTTTTAATGAAACATTTTGAATGAGATTAAGATGGTTTTGTTTAAACTCGTCTTAAGAGGTTATAGATAATACCCGGAACTTAAAAACTAACGCAAAAAAACAACTTTACTAAAAATTGAAAAGGCATTCTCAGTCAATATTTTTCGTAAATGCTATTGCTTTGTGTAATTATACCCACCTTGTTTTATTGCCTATTTGATTTTTTTTATACTTCACGAGATTCTGCCGGGATGTTGGATCTGAGAGTAATTAACATCACTATCATAAAAAATGTTTCAATGTGAATCTATTAAATTTTTTTTTTGAAATACTGCATTTTAAAGTCAAATAACTCATAGAAAAAATATATAGTCGAGACATTTTTTAATCATAAAGTACACCTGAAGTTCTGTAATTTAATATAGGTTTAAAGAACACAAATATCTCATAAAGTTACCGATTTTTAAAATTGTACTTTTTTTTAGATTTCCCCCATTTACGGAGAACGAGGGAAATTTTCTCAATTTTTGAGAGTAATGTCTTTGACTAGATACGATTTGTAATCTTATGACGTATTGTTAAAAGATATTGGTCCAGTGAGAGCTAACGAAGTGGTAACAGACACAATAAAATATATATATCATAGTAAAATTAATAACTTCTCAGCTTCGCCTCATTAAACCTACATCAAATAAAGGTAATACAATGAACTTGATGAAAAAAAAATTAAAAAAGAGAAACTATCAGAAATTTTGATTTCTTAGGAATTATTAGGCATTAAGACCACAAAATATAATTTTCAGTCAAAATAACTATTTTTGTAATTTTTTAGATAATAACGTAATATTTGCGTTGATTTAAATTATTTAAAATCAAATATTATTTTATGTGATTTTAATGATAACTCATTTTCATTAAAATTATTGTAAGTTTCAAATTTTTGTAATGGAAAAAATTAATTGATTCAAAAATCTACAATAATAATAGTTAAATAATTTTTATTCGTCCCTTCAGGTTTAAAACACAGGTTTAAACATTAATCTTAATTTTATTTAATGAGAAACATAATTTGTAGTTTAAAATGATATTATAAAAAAAAATTTCTTATTTTTTTTTTATTTACTAAATTTTTAAACAAGTTATTAATGTTATTTTCTATATTTATTATATTTCTGATGTATAATTTATTATGCTATAATTTTATATATTTCTTATTATTGTGTTTTTGAATTTTTTATACTTAAATAAATATAAAATTATTCATAATAAGTTTTATTCGTCATAGTTTTTATAAAAATTTTTCTCATAATAAATTTTCCTAAAAATATTTACATTTTTAGATGTAAAATTGAAATTGCTTTAACAAAATTATAACAAATAGCAGCTTGTAATTCTGTTATAAAATGATATCATTTTTATTTAGATCAATGAAATATTTTTTTTTCATTCAGATTATTTTTACAAGTTTTTATTAAATTTTACATTATTATAAACGCTGTTTTTAAAATAATCCTTCAAAACGACACATTTTTTATTTTATTTTTACAAGTCAGAAAAATATTAAGGAGTAACTGCTCATAAGGCTATATTAACGACAATGTTAAATGGGAGTTAAATAATATTACACTTGTAATGAAAGATGGGAATAATCGAATGATTTCGGTAATCGAGAATTAAAAATAATATATACTGAAAATTGAAACACAAACATATATAGGTATATTTATTAAAATCATATTGTTCGAATCACTCGATTAAATTGTATGATAAAAATTTTAATTATTCAATGTCTAAAAAACCACATAGTTGTCAAATGATTAATTAAAATAATCGTTTATTTTTAAATTTAAAGTTTTTACACTAAATAATAATCAAACAATTAAATGAAGTTCATTCAAAATATAAATAAAATTAATTACAAAAAACTTGTTGAGTGTTGCATAATAAAATAAAATTAAAAAAACGGTAGCACAGTGGGGTCGAAGCACAGTGTAGACAAAACATAGATGGGACAAGTATAGATGATATTTGACAGTGATTAAAATCACTATCATAAGAAACGCTTCGATGCAAATCTATAGATGGTGTTTAATTCTAAGAAATTATTGGATAATTACAAAAGCAACATCAATTTCTATTTCCTTAATTATATCCAGATTAGTAATTTTTAGATTCAAAAATATAATATATAATTTTTATAATTAATTGTTCCATTTAGAGAAATTGGTGGATTATTCCAAAAGCAACATCAACTCTTATTTCTTTGATTATATCCTAATTAGTAGTTCTTTGATTTTAAAATATAATATATGAATAAATACTAATTATAATTATTAAATTTAGAATGAAATTGATATTCAATAATTTAATATTGTAATTTAAACGGAGAAATTATAAAAATAATAAAGAAGTTGTATTTTGCTTTATTTTTACGTGTATAAAAATTTAAAGGGCTTGATACAATAAATTTCAATAAAAACTGTTTGTTACTATAAATAAATGCACTGAACTACAAGGAACTTTCATCAGTAACAAAAATATACCATTCTTAATCAACATTTCGCGATGTTTTCAAATCTGCAACTAGACTTTTTCTATCACTTCTAAGTTTTAATATTATTAAAAATTAGTATTTACATATAAAAAATTCGCATCGAAGCTAAAAAATTGGCTATTTAAGCTAACTCAAATTTACAAATTACTTTTTCGACTTTAAAAATTTAATAAGTTTAATTTCTTATGTTTTATGAACTTTATTCTATGTCAATTAAATTATATAATATTCATGAAAGTCAATATATTCTCCTAATAAGATATTTTAAAATAAAATAAAATAGAAAACCTAGAATTTGAATAGAAAAATAGCATATTTTTGAATACGGTANTAAAATCGAAAATTTTAACACAAAAATAGTCATATTTTTGAATACGGTAGCCATTTGCGTATAGAAGATAGGTCGTCGGGACAAATTTTTTTTTTCATTTTGTAGTACATAGAATAAACTTTAATTTGATATATGTTTAAAGGACGCAGTATTTCGGGAACATTTTCAAAAATTAAGTTGAAAAAGTTAATTTTTGTAAAAAAGTTGCTATTTTAAATCCCCCTTGTGAGCAGAATAAGTGTTAGATTTTCAAAAAAAAATGATATCAAACGAAAGGAAATTACCTAAGGTTTCAATATAAAAAATATTATTTTAATTTGTTAATATTTGAAAAAGTTATGGCAGTTTTAAGTACAAAAAACATCCTTATAGAAGGTGATTTTTATTGCAAATATTACATTTTTTTTTTAAATCTTGACAGCAATTTGCATATAGTAGATAAGGTGTCGGGACAAATTTTTTTATTTTTATTTTATAGTACATAAAATAAGCTTTAATTTTATATATGTTTAAAGGACGCAGTATTTCCGGAACACTTTCAAAAGTTCTATTTTTTATACAATATTTCAATTTTTGAACGCCCCCTATATATGGGGAAATTGTCCAATTTTAAAAAAAAGTATGTCAAATGAAAGGTAAATATCTAAGGTCTTAGTATAAAAAAAATGTATGTTGATTCGTTAATTTTTGAAAAAGTTATGGAAGTTTTAAGAAAAAAAAGTGAGAAAAATGACAAAATTTACCGATTTTTAAATTTGTAATTTTTTTGGATATTTCCCCCATTTGCGGGGAACGAGGGAATTTTTTTCAATTTTTAAGGGTAATGTCTTCAACTAGATACGATTTGTGAATTTTTGACGTATTGTTGAAAGAAATCGGTCCAGTGAGAGCTGAGAAAAAGTGGCAACAGACATAAAAAAAAACACATCATAGTAAAATTAATACCTTCTACGCTTCGCATCGAAGCTAAAATACATGTTAAATTATAAATGTTTACTAATAATGTATAAAATTAGTCCATTAAAATTGAATTACTATTTTTAAAAAAATATGACCTAAATTATTATGGTGAAGCCTGTTCGACGGTCATTTGTCAACTGTCCAGTTTTAGAAAATAGACGTTCCGAAGGAACAGAAGTCGCTAGAATACTCAAATATTTGAGTTTATAAAGTTCTGGAAATGTATTTTTGTGTTCACTTCAAAATTGCAGAGGACATTCGGTACGACTTAAGTAGAGTATTTCTAAATATTGACGAAGTATCAATGAAGCTGTAATGTTAGTGGACAAATTCCTATTAGATTTAATTTTTAAGATTTTACTGTCTAAGTGTCCTCATAATTATGTCTAAGAGTAAGTCTAAGAAAGTTGCTTTTGCGACTACTTTATTTTGCTTCAATATTCCCAAACGCTTAGCAACGATTTTCATCACAGTTTTTTTTATTGAACTTCCTGCTACTGTTTTAGTTTCTACATTTTTTAATGTATACTCCAAACATCTTATTAGCTGTATAACTTTGATTATTCCTATCACTACTTATAATAATGTAATTTAAAAGTTTATGTATAGGCCTTTTTGTTATTTATTTTACATAAAAAAATATATATTATATTTGCTTAGTATTTCACAGATAAGACTCGGGTAGTATTTACCAAGGCGAGAAACCAAACTGTATACAAATTAAGTACATTTAAAAAAATGTAATGACTAAAAACAAAGCCATTGGAACGGCATATTTTGATAATATCCCCTAATTTAAAATGTCAGGACATACTACTGGTTAGTAGACATTACTTTTGTCGATATATATAAAAAAAACCTTAAGAATATAGCATTAACTGAAAATTTTTTTAGTTCTGTTAAGTGGTAAAAAAAAAGTAAATAAGATACTTAATACATAACTATTTATTTCAAAAACATTATTAAGAAGTATACAAATAAAAAAAAAAATACAGCTTTTAAAAGCACAACAATTATTTATAATATTTAAAATATATATATATATATATATATATCAAAGCAAATCTTTGAAAATAAAACATTACAGAGTTCTATGTAATTAAATTATAAACATATTATAATTCATTACGTGCTAATAGTGATTTATAAAAATAATAAAAATTTATTTATAAAAAATTATAGTAGGAAATGTTGATAAAATAATTCTAAAATATTAATTATGATAGTAAAATAACATATATGTATACTGAGTAAATACAGTTCAATACAAAAATTATCAGCAGTGAACATTGTCAATATAATCCATCCAGTGCTTCATCTTATTATTAGTTCTTTGTTCACAAATTATCTCTATCTGCACAGCCAATTTTCTTTCAAAAATGAAAAATGTTGATAAATAATGATTCGAAACTTTTTACGAAGACAAGAGCAAATATATAGAAAAAATGCATAAGGCTTTCAATTATTTCCTTGTCTCTTGAACAAGATAACCATGACGTGAAACTTAATTCACAAAAATAAAATACAATAAATTAAAATAATATATTAAAAATAATTACATTTAACACTTAATACAATTATTTAATAGTGCTTAATAAAATTACATAGTAATTTTTATTTTTCATCATTTGAAATTTTTCTTATATTATATACTATCTTGCTTTCCAATTATCTAAAATAATTTATTAAACAAAAATAATATATCATTAGTACAAGTTAATTTATTCTTAAATTAACTGATAAGAACAAAAAAATAAATGCTTAAATAAAGTTTTACATTTTATTATACGTTAAATAATTTGTTAGCTTAGGAATAATAAAAAATATGAATGCATATTAAAATATTATGATTATGTTCATCTTAAAATGTTAAGTTATAGCCATTAAAAAGCTTAAATAATAGTAGATTAAAGTTTAAAAAAATTCACTTCAGTACACAAAAGACAATGCATATTAGATGTATTATCTTACTTAGGAGGTGAAATATTTGTAAATTGGACCAATAAAATCAATTGCCTTTTCAAACTGCGCCAATAGATGCAAATATTTTTTTAGTATCCCTGAATAATACAGGAATAGTTAATAGAAAAGTTTAATTAAACATTTAAAAATATATTAGACAACATTCAAGAAAAACATAATTACAAAAAAAAATGTTGTTGGTTTAATTGATTATTTTAATAATATAATATTTAATCAATGATGGAATAATATTTGATAAAAAAATGTTCACCATATGTTAAAATAGATCGAAAATGAAAAAGTATTCATCATCATATATATACATATATATATAGATTGATAAAATAAATTACTTGGTGAATTTAGCGTCTAACTGATTTTTAACTGCATCCAAATAATCATTAGTATTTAAATACATTCCTTCTTTTACATTTTTAAGACCATGAATACAGCCTGCAAGATCTTTTGTCATGTGACCAGCATCAACACATTCAACACATGATTCTTCTAACATATCGCAAAATCTATAATATAAAATATTATATAATAATATTTCAGGTTTAAAAAAAAAAAAATGCAATTTACATGGCAAGTTCAGGTGTGTTATCAATCTTGGCTCTATGTTTCAGACCTCTTGTCCAAGCATAGATGGATGCTATTGGATTAGTTGATGTTTGTTCACCTTTTTGATGTTGTCTAATTAAATAATAAATTACAATATTGTGTCTTAGTTATAATAACAAACAATTTGTATAAATACCTATAATGTCTAGTAACTGTTCCATGAGCAGCTTCAGATTCTAAAGTTTTACCATCTGGACAGACAAGAACTGAAGTCATGAGACCCAAAGAACCTAAAATAAATATTAAATTTTATGGAATCGTAAAATAAAGACTACGAATATACTAACCATAGCCTTGAGCTATAATATCAGACTGTACATCACCATCATAGTTTTTACATGCCCAAACAAAACCACCATCACCTTTTAAAGCTTGAGCTACCATATCATCAATTAAACGATGTTCATACCAAATATTAGCGTCTTCAAACTGAGCTTTATAATTTCTAAAATTTATTACATATATATAAAAAATAATGAAAATGAATAAAACAAATACAGCAAATTATTTTTACTTTTCATAAATTTCTTCAAATATATCTTTAAATTTTCCATCATATTTTTTAAGAATAGTATTTTTTGTAGACAAATATAATGGCCATTTTTTTAATAATGCCACCTGAAAGAGTAAATTAATTTTTATAATATATAGCATTATAACATTATAATTTTTTACAAATAAATTTTATAAAATACTATACTTACTTGAAAACTTGAATGAGCAAAAGAAGTTATGGAGGAATCTAAGTTATACATAGCTAGTCCGATTCCGGGTGTTTTAAAATCAAATACATTAAGTTTTTCAACTATACCATTATGATCAGTAAAAACTAATTCTAACTAAAAAATATAAACAATAACAGCTTATAGAACGTAACTAATTGTAATTACATTACAAAGTAATACAAGAATATTTAAAAAACTTACTAAGCCTGGTCTAGGAACAACATAATCGGTAGCCTTATACTGATCTCCATGAGCATGTCTACCAATAATAATTGGTTTTGTCCACCCAGGTACTAACCTAGGTATAGTTTTGCATAGTATTGGCTCTCTAAAAACTGTGCCCCCAAGGATATTTCGAATGGTACCATTTGGACTCAACCACATTTTTTTTAATTTAAACTCTAAAATTAAAATAATGCAGAAATTATTAGATAAAAATACAATTACAAATAATTAGGAATATCAACCTTCAACACGAGCTTCATCTGGTGTAATTGTTGCACACTTAATACCAACATTATGCTTTAATGTAGCTTGAGCTGCATCAATAGTTACTTGATCATTAGTAACATCTCTATGAGGCAAACCAAGATCAAAGTACAAACAATCAACCTACATTAGGAAATAATTAGTTTAAAAAAATACAAGATTATTTATTTAGATTACTTTAATATATGGAAAAATGAGTGATTCTTTGATTTTTTCCCAGATAATTCTAGTCATTTCATCTCCATCCATTTCAACAACCGCATTTTTTGCTACAATTCTTTTTCCAAATGATGCATCTACAAAATAGAGCCATTCATGTCAGAATACATGCATGTATTATGGGTTTTACAGGATCTAGATTCCTCAACATTTAGATTTCAACTATCCAAGATTGTTAAACTAATAGTACTGCACAGAGAAGGGGCAATTTTTTAATAAACCTACCTAAAATAAATTTTTAGCTACATACTTACTAGAGTATATCTTATTAAGGAACTACTTTAGATATTGTATCAATGTCTTTTAATGGAGTCATTGAAATAAAATTAAATGAATGCAAATTCAAAATTTATAAATATATTGTAATCAATAGCACATTAATAACATAATTATTATTCTATCTAAAAAAGCTAAAACTTATAAAATTATGTATTCTTAACAAAGTTTTTTTTTCATTAGAATAATGATTGTAAAAAAAATAATATTGATTTTTAATTTTTGTGTTAGATCAGGCACAAATATGCTAAATATTACAATATTTATAAATGTTATTAGCCATTCATTGAATAATAGTTAAATTTTTATTAAAATATTATGTGTAAGTAATAACCTTATATATGATTTTTAATGATGTAATTGAAAGTTTTAATAGCAAAAAATAGATTGTTACTTAGATATACTGACATGGAGGAATTAACGTAATTTGTTAGGTAATTTTAAATGGTATTTCCAACATAAATAAATTTTAAATAATAATTTTCCTGTAGTTTTTGAAATTATACTACTGTTCTACGTAAGTACCATGATAAAAATACAAATATATATTTATCACCCAAATAATAATTTCAACATTTGACTATTCTTTTGATGAAATAATTAGTAAATTATAAGATATTTATACTCAACTCACAATTACGTGTGTAATTAGAGGTTACAGTTAACTTAGCCAGTCCAGTAGTTAAATTTAAAAATGTCTTGACCATTGTAACAATCTTAAAAGTTATTTAACACTGCTGAAAACTAAAAAAGCTTAACAACGGGCGTACTAATCTGAAGAATTTAAGAATAAGGATTTAGAAAATGCAATTTAATACAAAATGGAACAATAACCAATGGTTCTTAAATTATTAGAATAGAATCATAATAAAAGCGGCTTGCGATACAGTTATTAATGATAACAATAAAAAGATAAGAGTGTATGTTGGAGATAACTACTCAGAATAGCGAATTACTGTGTGCGTTTCATTTGGTGGCTTACTTTTGTTATTTATTAATTTTATCTCAGACAAGTGTTCACGTGATTTATTGTAACACAAATAAAAGGCATGTTTTACCTAGAATTATCAAAACTTTGAACGATTAACGATCATACACTTTTTATTGTGTGTTCATAGTGATATTACAAACTCACTTATTGTGCACCTATATTACATTCTTACATTAACCAATTTGATTATTGGTAATTCCACAAATAAATTTTCATCATTTCGCAACTGGTATCGTATATTTCGGTATTCCAGTATAGTCTTTATTAATATAATCATAATTTTTTATTTTTATAAGTCAAAGGTATTTAAGTTGACAACAAGTATTCCATATATTTTTGAAGTTAATAATAGAATATCTCCGAGAAAATTTTAAACTGTGAAGTTTTTTTCAGGCAATTTTTGATACAGTAATGAATATATTATATATATTCATATAATATATTTATATATATATGAACAATTAATAATAAAATATTGTGAAAATACTTATAATAAATTTATCTTAGATAATTTAACAATAATTAAATATATGTTTTAGTTTTCTTAAGATATTTAACCTTATCACATATAAATGTTAACAAATAAAATGTAATAATAACTGAAACTTAAAATTTGAACATTAATGTCAGTTAACTAAGCTTGTAGAGTGTAGACTCAAAGCTTATATTAGATAATATATTGACTAAAGACCAAACATAAGGACTGAAAAATTCTTCAGGTTTTTCTTCTTCTACATACTTGAATTTGAGGTCAGGAAATTTCTATTGAAAAATTCATCATAATTAAAACTAGTAAAAAAATCAATAAACTTCATTTGTATACCTTCATAAGATCTCTGGGCCATTGTAGAGACCAATGTTGAACTCTGGCTAACACTGAAGTTACATCTGATGAATTTAATAGTTCTTCTTCTTTTTCTAATTTGGCAGAAAAAAATGTAATAACCATATCAATGTTTTGAATTACATCATGGAATGCTTCATGGCTCTTTAAAGGCTCAAATACTTTACGTTGATATAATAAAGCATAAACTAAATTGGGGTTATGAATTAGTTGATTACATAAACAAGAGTTTATTACTTCCAAAACAATACGTAATGCTTCTTCAATAGCACTCATCTATAATGAAAATAGTTCATGAAACAATTATCATAAATTATTTAATAATTATGTAATTCCTTACATCTTGATTTGGACACCTCAAAAATGTCTTTGATAAGACTTCGTATAAACTTATCATTCTTTGGCAAACATAAGGATGTAGTTGGTTGAATTGTGAAGACATATTGGCTAGAGCTGCGAAGCAATTTATGTGAAGATATTTATCCTAATAAAAAAAAATTTATATTAAAATTTTAATGATCACAAAAATGGATTAGAAAAAATGATTCACTAACTCTCATTTTTAAAAGGTTAAATTGAGCAGTTCGAGTAGTTACTAAAATAATAAGGCCACCTAAAGATATTTCTGACACCATTCTTTCTTGATACCATGTAATGCTTTTCAGTATAATGCTATGAACTGTTTTGTTGAATAGCTGATCTTCAGTTAATATTAAAAGTACAATCAAAGCCATATACATGTGTTGAAATCTACTAGTTTGTGTATTATATATTGTCCTCAATAATGGAATTAACTAAAATTAAGAAATAGTTATAAGAAAAGTTATAATGAAAATTATAAAAATTTTAAACTTTCCTATAATTTAGCTACCTGCAACTTCATTTTAGTTGTTTTAAGCATTATAAGGTAATTATATTTATTATGAAGATAATTAATTGTGCAAAAGATAAATTATATTGAAAATATTACTAAAACATGAATTTTATTACATAGAGATTGAACTTAAAAAAATTTTATCCTGAAAGTACAGTTACTATTAATGAGATATATTTGCCTAAAAAATGATTGATAAAATAAATATTATAAGATATATTTTAAAACATTAATGTAATAAATAAATAATACAGTAAATAATTGAATTTACATACTATAACTTCTATATCCGTACGTGCTAATAAAAATGACTTGAAATTATTATTGCAATGTATAAGATGATATAAGAGAAGAGTTTTCTCTTCACTTAGGGGGGCATCAGGATTATCTCCTAAAAACTTGTACAAAGTAATCAAATTTTCTGAAATTCATTTAAAATAATTTATACTATTTAATTTTTCTAACTACTATAAAATTATATATAACTTTACCCGATAATGATGAAATACAACTTCGGTATGGGTTACCTTTTGGAGGAGGTGGTGATGTACAGTGATTTACCAATACTAATAACACACTAATAGATAAAGAGCTTAAAGGACTTTGATTTGTATTAGTAGGATTGTTTGAACTAAGTGTTAAAATATTCCATATATTGGCTGAAAATATAAAATTCTTATAGTATGAATTATTAGAAAAATATTCATCAGTTATCTTTACAAGCCAATCCAAAAATTATACTGCCCCCAGAAATATCAGGACCTTTATTCTGTTCGATATATTTTTGTAATAGAGCTTTTGACAGTATTATAGGATCAATATTTTCCATAAATATTCTAAAAATAAAAAAATTATTTTTATAACATTTATGAAAATCCTGAATACTGAATTATCCATATATCTTACTTGTAAATAATTAGACTACTTGATGGTTGTATCGTATACATTTGAGTAGAGAGAAATATTAATATACAGTTAAGACTTTCTACATGAATTGAATAGGTGAAATCACTAAAAACAGTCAAATATATTTACAGAAATTTTTACAGTTAACAAATTTGTTATTATTTTCCATTGATAACATAATTAACAAATTTATTAAAAGTTTAGTAGAAAGATTAATTTTTAGGTAAATAACTTACTTAACTTTTAATTCAGATACAATTTTAACTAAAAGTGATATAAATTTGAATGATGTTGTTTCATTAATGTCATCAGGGACTGCATACTCTTTTCTGTCACCCAATGCAACTTCAATCCCATCTAAAAATAACAAACAGTAATTATGAGTAGTTAAAGCAAATGTATTACACAATATTGTGATAATATTTAAAGAATTTTTTTAAAATTGGCACATACCAATTAGAAAATAATTTTTTGAAGTTTCAACAAACAAATCTAAAATTATAAAAGAATAAAAAAAAAATAGTAAAATCGAACATTTTAACACTAAATATGCATGTTTTTTAACTACAGCAGACATCTTTACATAGAAGATAAGTTGTTGGGACAAATTTTTTTTATTTTACTCATAGTACATAACAAAGCTATATTTGAAGCTTAAAATATTTCTAAAACATTTTTAAAACTTAAGTGAAAAAAGTTAAAAATTTGTGCAAAACTTGTTATTTTGAATACCTCGCTGAAGGAGGACAAAAGGTCAAATTTTCATAAAATTTGTATTAAATGAAAGGAAAATATCAAAGATATTTATAAAAAAAATTTTTTTTATTTGTTTATATATATAAAACTGTCATAATTTATGACAGTATTAAGTAAGAAAAAGTTTAAAAATTATCAAAATTTATTTATTTAAAAAAAAGGTAATTTTTGGAAGATATCCACATTAAATGAGAGAAAATATGTACAATTTTTGTGAGTAATGTCTTCAACTAGATATAATTTGTGATTTTTCATATTACTATGAATACTTGTTTCAGTGAGAGCTGAGAAAAACTATTGACAAAAACAAAAAGAGAAAATAAAATTAAAAACTAAACACATCATGGTAAAATTAATACTATCTCAACTTTGCATCAAAGTTCAAATTAATGAATCTCTAATACACATAAAAAAAAATTCTTTTTCAAAATTTTATTACTACTGTATATTGTTTTTACTACTGTCATTAAACTACTAATGAAGTTTTTGATAATTAAATCAATCATTTCTCACATTTAAGGTTGTTATTAATTATATTTAAATAGAAAATAATCATTTTGTACATTAAAAGGTTTCAAATATTTGAATTCTGTTTTTCTAATTATCAAATTCACAATTAGTAAAATTCTTCAAAAAATGACGTGTACTAACCAGAGTTGGGAAAAAACAAATCAAACTAATGAATAAAAAATAAAAGTATNCCAGAGTTGGGCAAAAACAAATCAAACTAATGAATAAAAAATAAAAGTATGAATAACTAATTAATTTGTGAATAAAGAATAATATTTTATTTTAAATAGTTTTAGTTGTGAATAATAAATAAAAATTATTCTGAATAATTTAACTTATGAATAAATTGATTATTCTGAATAAATTAGTTAAATAAATTGTGAATAATATCCAATTTTGGTGTAACAAAATTATGATAAAAATATAATATACATAACAAAGTAAATAATTATAACAACAATAACAATAACTTACATAATAATAACAATAATCATGACAAAAATAATAATTAATTTTAATTTTTAGTTTCTATTTTGTAATTCATAAAATAAATTTGATTTTAATACAACTTTATACTCAAAATATAAAAATGTTATTAAAGCAGTAAAACGCAGGTAAATAACATGTCGATATCGAGTGCTAAACCATTTAGATTAACCTTATAGAAATTATTTATGATTTTTGGTTTTGACATTATCGATAGCAGATAATATAACAATAAGAAAGAAATACTAGTTTCAGTTTTCAGTTAAGTTGTAATTTTAAATTATCTATAAATCATTTAAGATAAACACGACTATGAAGAATAATAAATAACGAATAATTGAATAATGAATAACGAATAATTGTAAAAATTAAAATAATGAATAAAAATAATTTAGAATAATCAAATGAAAAATAAACGAATAAAGAATAATTTTTTATTCAAATAATCAATCGAATAATTTTTTAGTCGAATAATGCCCAACTCTGGTACTAACACATTTTTTTCATAGATAAATTAAACAATTAAGACAATAATAGGGTGAAAATAAATGTAATTTAGTTATGTCTTTTAAAATATTTACCAAATATTACTTCAGACTTAAAAATATTATTTCTACTCATTACTTAAATTTTCTAATTGTTATCTTTATTAGTGTAATTTAAAAATAAAATATTTACATTTACTAAAATACTACTTAATACAACTAAGTGTAAAAATTTGGGAAAGAAAATTATAAATAATAAGAGATGCAATATTATATCTTCAAACCTAATATTATAATAAATATAAATTAAACAAAACAACATTAGACTGGTTTAAAAGATAGTCTACATTGCAAACTTAACAATTAATTCTGCATTATTAATAATTAATAACAATTAAGTTATACATATATATATATATATATATGTGTGTGTGTATAACTTAATACTAAAGCCAGAATAGTACAGTTCAAGAGGTAAAAATAAACAGACTTGCACTTCATCACCATTATAATAAAGTGTTAATATATAATTTTTTAATTGTGCTATTTATTTTTAATAATGACAAAAATTTTATAAATAAGTAAACTTACCTGTTTGTAATTCAAATTGATTAATAAGTTCTATTTCCTTTGTATTTTGAACAAGATACTTTAAAAAGTATCGAGCAATAAATAATCCATTAAATATTTGAAATCTCAAAATATTACTGTTAAGCATATAGAATTTTATCTTAGTATGATCTTTCAATGACTTAATACACAGTCAATATTAAACTTACTTTTCATTCATTTCTAATTGTTGAATATTTGTTTTTTGGAGTAATAATCTAATCAGTGTTTTAAAATTGGATGTATTTCTATTATTTATCACTAATGAATCACAAATGCTTTTAAGACGGTCTGTTAACATTTTATCATCTTGGCTGTAAAAATATTTTTGTTATAAAAATAAATAAAACTTCAATAATAGTATATATAGCAATAATCTTTATTATAGAAGTTTATTTTTTAAACAATTGCATGAATTAAAATTTTTTTTTGTTGCAATTAAATTTTAATAATTTTTAATGTAATCTACTTACCTAGATATTGGTGGGTTCAGTGAGAATGTTAAGAATGTATCCCAAAACGGATCATCAATAGTAATTTCTAATTCACCTGCTAGTCTTAAAAGACAATCATTATCAGCCAATTCACCATGACTTGGTCCGGCACCCATAGCGTTTTTAAACAGTCACTTTACAACGATTGTAGGTATTTCACAAATTTTAGTACCTACAGCAAATATTGACATCCGAGCATCCACGAATGTTTGGTTATGGCTGTCATCAGCATATAAACAGTTTATCAAGACACTGAATCTATAAAATTATTTTAAAAAATTAACACATAAAAATTAAAATTTATTTTTACAATCTAATACAAGTTTCTTAATTTTGTAGTTGAAGCTTTTGCGGTATTCGTGTTATCATCTTATTTAATTTAATATCAAAAATCACTGATATAAAATTGCTGACGGCAAAGCAATGTAGCCAACAGTTTCAGAACTTATTGTTTCGTTTTGTCAAAATTCCCATTTTTAAATCAAATATCTATGTATGAAATGTCATCGTTGAGAGCTTAAGATAGATTTTTATAGATGTGATTCTTAATAAAAATGCAGTTAGTATTTTTATTGAAACTAACATAAATATTTTGTTTTTCTGGCTAGGTATAAAAATTAATTTTGGAAATAAATATTTAGCTAGTTTGAAGTAAGCATAAAATTTTAAAAATAATTGGTAGTTTAATGCAGGGCTAAGACCGAAATAATTTTGGTTTTTAGCAATTTTTTTTATATCTAGTAAATTAGTTCATCTATGTCGAATTTTTTTTAGTCTATGTTAAAAAAGTTATTAAAAACTTAAAAATACTACAAACTGCTTTTAATATGTTAACAAACTTTAAATTTGACATAAAATTTTTAAAAACCAAAATTAACCAAAAAAAATATGTCTGTTAATATTGGTTTTTAAACTTTAAATATTAAATTTGTTATGATTTTAAAAGCGATTCATAATACATGATTTTGCTGCTCTGACTGATCTGATATATTAAGTGGGCCGATTAAAGTCAACATGGTCGTACAAACATTGGTGCTATCTTAATAAACACTCTGAAAATATTGTACTACAACAAAGTAGTAAGATTTAAAAAAATTAAATTTAGCATAACTTTTCATGACCTAAAAACTTATCATTCTATAGAGGCCTATCACAAGAACTAAAAGTTAATTATTATTTAAAAAAATCATTTTATAAGTTAACAAACTATTGATTGAAATCATTGAATACTTCAATTAAATAACATTTGTCTAATAGTAGTATGAGGTTTACACCTAATATTATTTGGTGATAAATAATAACATAAAATTATTATTATGTTAGAATTTATATTAGCATTTTTTCAATCTTTGACGTAGTACACCATTAAGATAAATTATTAAGTTTGATAGGTTTATTTAACATCAATTACTATACAGAGTGTTTAGTAAGTAAGGAAACAGGTTAATTGTTACAAACAATGATAACAGTAGAAATCCGTTTCCTTGTTTACTGAACCTCTATAATTTGTTCAACCCTCGAGACTACTTCAGTATATTGCTACTTCACAAATTTTATCCATTTATTTTAATTTTTGGTTTATGACAGGATTTTTTAGCTTCGATGCGAAGCTGAGAAGGTATTAATTTTACTATGATGTGTTTTTCTTTTTTATGTCTGTTGCCACTTTTTCTCAGCTCTCACTGGACCGATTTCATTCAACAATACGTCAAAAGATCACAAATCGTATCTAGTTGAAGACATTACCCTTAAAAATTGAAAAAATTTCCCTCGTTCCCTATAAATGGGGGAAACCTCCAAAAAAATTACAAATTTAAAAATCGGTAAATTTTGTCATTTTTCTCACTTTTTTTTCTTAAAACTTCCATAACTTTTTGAAAAATGAACAAATCAACATACATTTTTTTTATACTAAAACCTTAGATATTTACCTTTCATTTGATATCATTTTTTTGAAAATCTATCACTTAACCTGCTCATTAAGGGGGATTTAAAATAGCAACTTTTTTACAAAAATTAACTTTTTCAACTTGATTTTTGAAAATGTTCCGGAAATACTGCGTCCTTCAAACATATATCAAATTAAAGTTTATTTTATGTACTATAAAATGAAAAAAAAAATTTGTCCCGACACTTTTTCTTCTACATTTAAACGGCTGCCGTAGTTCAAAAAACACTATTTTCGATTTTAAATTTTCAACTTAAAAGTGCTATAACTTTTTGAAAAATGTATATATCAGCACAATTTTTTTTTTCTAAATACATTATAAGTACATCTTTCATTTGACATACTTTTTATTAAAATTGGACAATTTCCCCTTATATAGGGGGCGTTCAAAACTTAAAATATTGTAAAAAACATAGATCTTTTTCAACTGAACTTTTGAAAATGTTCCGGAAATACTGCGTCCTTTAAACATATATCAAATCAAAGGTTATGTTATATACTATCAAATGAAAAAAAAAAATTTGTCCCGACATCTTATCTTCTATGTGCAAATGGCTGTCGAAAATTAAAAAAAAATGTAATGTTTGCGATAAAAATTACCTTTTATCGGGATGTTATAATAATTTCTTTAAATTAAACACCATCTACAGATTTGCATCGAAGCGTTTCTTATGATAGTGATTTTAATCACTGTCAGATATCATCTATACTTTATTTAATTTATTACTATAATTATTATGAACTTTATTAATTCTTAGTATATATTGAGTAAAATGTTAAATTTAAGATAAAGGACAATGTTTTAGCAATGCATCTTCCTTAGCAGAAAGGGGTATTAAAAAGGGTCAGAAACAATTAATTGTTGTGAGTCTTGAATTAAATTTTTTGTATTATGGGCCGGTGTAAGTCTTCGCTGCCTTTGAACCAAAAATTTACTCACGCCTATATTATCATTCGGGTAGATCAGATTCGATTGGCACATCTGTTAGGATAAAATGTTTGTAACTCAATGATTTCTCGTTCTAAAATTATTATACACAATTTTAAAATTTAAACAAATTTTAAATAAAAAATTATTATTAAAATCAAATAATAAAAAATATGAATTTAATGTAATTTTGAATATATAAAGTTTTTTTATTTTAATTATGATAAAATTTTATTTGTATTAAGTGATAGGAGTTGTTAGTTAGATCGTTTATCCTGTGTAATAATATTATATAAATATTACTATACATTTATGCAAAAATATTAATAAAAAAATATATAATTTATTATTGTTATAGTATTGAAGAAATGTTTGAAGAAATATGTAACTATTATACAATAATCAATTGTTAATTGGTTTAGAAATAGAAATATTATGTTCATAATGGAATCATTGAATAAATTAATTTGGACCATGAAACAATGTTATAAAGTACATACGTGATATTAAAAGTAAAAGTAATAATATAAGTAACTGGGGTAAGGTGAGTAAAATTTCTAAAATAAATACTGCAAGTTAAACAAAACATACAAATAGGTAAGAATTTTTTTAAAAAAAATTTGAGTAGCGCTGAATGATTTTTTTTTGCTGTCAACACTCTCTCTTCTGTAGTGAATTAAAAAAAGAAAATAATATTATTTGTTGTAATTTAAAAGGGGTTATTACTTGTATTAATTTAGAGACTACTTTGAAAGTTACTTAAAAGAAATAAATTAAATAGAATATGACGGGATTTGGGTGTTTATTTGATCCACTACTTAATTGTATTAATAATATTATTACTTGGGGTATGAGTACGAGGGTCTGTAAGAAAGATAGAAGATGATAGAAAAATAAAGTGATCTTAATTTTATTAATATGGGATTCATTATAATTAATTGTTAATTTTTAAATATCAATAATGCTACGAGTTTTGACGGTTATCGATGATAGGTGGGATTGAGTCACCTCGTTTGTCTACCCAGAGAGGTATGGTGGCTATACATACGAACCTCCAACCTAACTCCTGAAATAGACACGTATCAACGATATAACTCTGCCAAGTAACTCTGTACAAACATTATCGATTTATTAAATTTACTTGGTATGTTTATTATTATTGATGATCACTTGATTTTCCTGTATGCCTACTTAATCTATGTACTCATAAAATTTAATTTTAAATCTTATTTATTTTTGGTAAATTTATTAGATTCATACTTTGATATTTTCTGTGACAGTCTTAAATAAATAGATGTTGTATTTTTTTTGTACAAATATAATTGTGATGACGGCGTATCACTTCTTTCATATATTTTGTTATGTGGAATGATCGAGTGTAGTGAGTGCCTCTATGAATATTGGACCGCATCTGTCTCAGAATGCTCCTTATTTTGGACTTTTTATAATAAATTTGATCGTGGTTCAAAGGCAAGAAGTGATCATCGACGCCACCATTATTTTTTTATTAATCGTAATTTATTACATGTTATTTATTACATTTTCATCAATAATGATCTACATTTCATAATGTTCTATAGTTTGTTCTATAAAATCTTACACATTATTTATTACCTTCTTTCTAACACATTATTATTACATATTGTTTATTATTTCCTGTTTCTTTTATATAATTAATACATGCATTTTTCTACGAATTTTCATTAGTATATTTAAACATTTAAAAGGTATATTTATCTTATTTTTATTGGTATACATATCATTTTGTATGATTGATTAATTGAAGTTTTAAATAATACATTATGACATTAATGATATACTGTGTATATCATGCCACTTCTTTATATTTTAGCTTCGATGCGAAGCTGAGAAGGTATTGGTTTTACTAAGATGTGTTTTTTTTTTTTTTTTTTTTTTTTT